CACTTGTGTATCTCATCAACCGAATCCCTTCATGGGTTCTTGACATGAAACCTCCATTCACTCTTTTATATCTTGATAAAGAGCTATTTTCTGTCCCTCTTAAAACCTTTGGTTGTACCTGCTTCGTGCAAACTCTTGGCCCTCACCGTTCCAAATTTGACCCTAAAGCCTCAAAATGTATTTTCCTTGGCTATGCACAAATTCAAAAGGGATACTACTGCTATGAACCTACTTCGGGAAAGAGATTTATATCCATGGGTGTTACTTTCTTTGAGGATGTACCTTATTATTCTAGGGTTTCTTCTCAGGGGGAGAGTAGTAAGGTTGGGGTTAACACATCAGAAGTCCCTTTACTTGTTCCATTGAGTGAAGAGGGGTGTAATGGGGAGGGTTGTCAAAAATGTCAGGATTTGAGAGTTTATCACAAACGATGGAGGCAGGTTAATTTCGGTCATCAGCAGTCCAGGCCAGCCCCAATTCCTTCTAAGGATCCAGATCCAGGTACTACATCTCTTTCATCTCCCATTACAGATGAGCCTTCTGCTGTTGAGCCTTCTCCATCTTCTGAACCCTCACTTCCATTGAATGACCTTGACCTCCCCATTGCAGTCCGTAATGGCAAACGCCGTTGCACCTCATCCACAACCTACTATATCTCACAATTCTTGTCCTATGATCATCTGTCTCCCTCTTACAAGTCATTTCTTACATCCATTGCTGATATTCCTATTCCTAGAACAGTACAGGAAGCCCTAACCATTCTTGAGTGGAAGGATGCAATGAAGGTAGAAATGGATGCCCTTTTGAGAAACAATACCTGGGAGCTAGTTGATCAACCTAAAGGGAAGAAACCAATTGGATGTAGATGGGTGTTTACTGTGAAACATAATGTTGATGGTTCCATTGAAATGTATAAGGCCTGGTTAGTTGCAAAGGGGATTTACTCAGACTTATGGTATAGATTACTTGGAGACTTTCGCACCAGTAGCAAAAATGACCACTACTAGAGTGTTATTATCTCTTGCAGCCAGTTACTCTTGGCCCTTGTTCCAAATGGATGTTAAAAATGCCTTCCTCAATGAAGACTTGCAAGAAGAAGCGTACATGTAGCTACCTCCTGGTTTTTATAGTACAGATACAGGTAAGAAGGTTTAATGGCTGAATAAAGCTTTGTATGGACTAAAACAGTCCCCTAGAGCTTGGTTTGATAGATTCAGACAAGCCCTTGAAAAGTTTGGCTTTGTGCAGGCTCAATCAGATCACACTTTGTTTATTAAGAAAGTGAATACTTCCTTGACTCTACTTACTGTATATGTGGATGACGTTGTAGTAACAGGGAGTGATAACAGTGAAATTGAGTCTCTTAAGAAACTTCTCCATCAAGAATTTGAGGTAAAAGACCTGGGAGAGCTACGATATTTCTTGGGTATTGAGATAGCTCAGCCCAAGCATGGAATCTTTGTTTCTCAAAGGAAGTATGTCATTGATTTGTTAGAAGAAACATGAAAGTTGGGTGTTAAGCCAACCGATACACCTATTGAATAGAATCACAAGATTAGTGCAGAAGGTGGAGAGCCTCTTGAAGATAAAGCTATGTTCCAAAGATTAGTTGGGAAACTACTTTATCTTTGTCTTACATGACCAGACATCAGCTATGCAGTCAGTGTTGTTAGTCAGTATATACACTCTCCTAGAACTACCCACCTACTTGTTGTTGAGAGGATATTGGCATATGAGGTGTACTATTTAAGGATAATAATCACATGAAGATAGAAGTTTACACAAATGCAGATTAGGCCGGTTGTGTTGATGATAGAAGGTCTACCTCTGGATATTGTGCCTTTGTAGGAGGTAACCTTGTTTCTTGGAGGAGTAAGACACAAAATGTTGTTTCTCGTTCTAGTGCTGAAGTTGAATATCAGCCCATGGCAATGGTGTGGCTGAAATAATATGGTTGAAATCACTGTTTGATGAATTGGGTATTACCTATGAGAAACCTCTAATCTTGTATTGTGATAATCACTATTAATATAGCTCATAACCTGGTACAACATGACAGAACCAAGCACACTAAATTAGATCGACATTTTATTAGGGAAAGGGTTGCATCTCAAGAAGTCCATCTTCCATATATCAGCTCCAACATGCAGCTTGCTGATCTTCTCACCAAGGCAGTTTCAAAGAAGAAGTTAGAAGCAGATCTATGCAAATTGGGAATGACAAACATCTATTCCCAACTTGAGGGGGAGTGTAGAAACCACTGATGTGGTCTCCACCTCTTTCTTTTGTACTCGTATACAACTATTAGTTATTTAAGTCAGTCCACAATTAGTTATTAGTCTTTTATTAGGATTTTATTTTTGCCATGTAAGCAATCTTATCCTTACTTCAGAATTAATATAAATAGAAAGAGGGGGGCGGCAGATTAAGCATCCTCTTCTTTTCTGAAACCCTTCCTTCGAATTCTTCTTCTCTTCTTCTCTCTTTCTCCTCTCATCTTCTTAATTTCCTGTTGATTATACACCACAGCTTGGGCTATTAGTAGTCTCATACGACTACAGTAACCATCACACTCAGTCTACTTTCCTCAGACTGAACAAGGGCATACACCTTTTGGACTGAAGGCAACTCTTTACTTCCTAAAATCTGAACTCTAAGGGGTTCTTATATGGGTTTAGTCCCAACAAAAAGGCAAAAACCCGCTGCTGAGAAACCAGCTTCTTATAGGCTCTAGCATCATCCTCATGTTTCCATTCTATAGCCCGATAGTGGTCTAATTCCTTCCAAACTGAGGTAAGAGCTGAATAATAGGCTGATAAGCTGCGGTTTCCCTATTTACAGGTTGAGGATTCAGCTTGTAACTAGTAGATCTTAGCAAAGTGCCTTTGCTCAGAATAGGTGGTTTTGGCCTGTTCCCATATCTCATTTGCAGTATCTGCCCACATAAAATTCTTCTTCACATCCGATTCCATGGCTGCAAGTAGCCAGGACATCACCATACTGTTTTCTTGGTCCCACTGGTCATTTCAGTAGTCCAACTATTGGGTTCTTTAACCCTTCCATTTATGTAACCAGCTTTCACCCTTGCTGTTACATAAAGTTTTACACCTTTGGCCCACTCCAGGTAGTTCAAACCATTTAAAGGAGTGGTCAGCATAGGAAGCATCATGCTTTCAGTCCCTATACCTATTGTACCATGGGTCGATGTAACCCCAGATAATGCAGATTCATTATTCGCCATTTTCAAAGGCAGGTCTACAAGCCACAAACAAAAAACTGCAGGTGCACAAGACCAGTCCTCACACCAGTACTACTTCTAATAGTCACAATTAAGGCACAAAACTCCACACACTACTTCTGAAAACATGTACACACTACTGCAGCACATAAACAGTCCAAAACACAGTCCAGGAAGAAGAATACTGCTGTACTTCACACTTCATACACTACTGCAGCACATAAACAGTCCAAAAACACAGTCCCGGAAGAAGAATAATGCTGTACTACTTCATACACCAATTCTAGCACATACCTGGACAAAAGGGATCACACACCCCTGTACAGCACCTGTACGAAGGTGCAAAAAAAAAAAAACCAGGTCTTCAACAGCATCAGCCGAAGGTCAAAAAAGGATGTTTATGCCTTCACAGCATCAGTCGAAGGAGCTAGGCCTTCACAGCCTCAGCCGAAGGTAAAAAAAAAGAGGTTTAGGTCTTCACGGCATCAGTCGATGGTGCCAAGCCTTCACAGCTTCAGCCGAAGGTCAAAAAACATAAGTTTAGGTTTTCACAGCACCAGTCGATGGAGCCAAGCCTTCACAGCCTCAGCCGGAGGTAAAAAAATGAAGTTTAGGTCTTCACAGCATCAGCCGATGGAGCGAATGAAGCTTCACAGCATCAGCCTCTACCAAATAGGGTTACCTTGGTGCTACGACCAAGGAGGAACCCAGAAGAAGTGCCAAGAGATATTTCTGATCAGTCCGGTTGAGTATTTTTGTCTTTACAGTCCAAGAAAACAGGTGCCTGGGTTGAGTGAATACTTCTCAGTGAGAAAACCACACTTCCTATTGCCCAGAGTGTCGCTCTGATACCATGTAAACATACGAGAAAACAGGAAGAAGAGAGAAGAGAGAGGAGAGGAGAGGAGAAGAAGAAGAGAAAGAATGTGGGAGTTGAAATCTTGGAGCTAGCGGCTACTGCTCCTCTTTTATTTAAAATGTTATAACTTATAACAAATATAAGAAATTGCAATTAGGCCCCTGGGGCTCACCCTAATACAAAGAAAAGAACATGCTGACAGCAGTCTAAGCTGACAGCATTGTAACAGCATAAATAAAGAAAAAACTCTTTAAATCTAACAACAAAATGTAAAATGTTTATAATAGTTAGTTGGTTAGTTATTAACTTGTTTTATTTAATGATTAAATGCTGAAACTTATTGCTTATAAACTTTCTATTATATGGATATTTGTACCTTCTATCATTCTAACTTTATATATTATATGTCATTTTTACTAATCTATAAACTTTAATTAAAATTTTTCTTAAGTTTTGAGGCTTACAGCCTTAAACTTCACAATGCCTTGAGGCTTATGCCTCATTTTTTTGCGCCATTACGCCTCAACTATGCCTTTAGCCTTTTAAAACCATGTGAGAAAGAATGTTTAACTAATTGACAGTCTTGTTCTAGAAAATTATATTCCTAGTGGCTTTTTTAGTATTCAAGGTTTCACAAGCTTCTGTCCAAGATATTTAGCAGTTTATTAGGAACATGCACAACAACATAGATGTGTATTCAATTCTCTGTATCAAAAAATATATATATATAAATATAATTTCAGTTTTTGTTATTCCTTTGAAGCTCAAAATCTGAATTGTTCATCAACTATATTAGTCCATTTTTCCACCATGATGTGCACAATGCGTGTATGTATACTCAGACATTTGCATTTTTTTAGTTGCACTCTATCTTCTAATCTGCATGTCGTATTGTCATTTCAGTACTCAAAATCTTTCTATCAGAGAGGCCATGGTAACTGATGTTTTGCTTGGAAAGAACGACAACATTGAAGGGGTTCGAACTTTCTTTGGGATGAACTTCTATGCTCCTTCTGTTATTCTTACAACTGGGACATTCATGAGTGGTAAAATTTGGGTCGGAAGAGCATCTATGCCTGCAGGGAGAGCTGGTGAGGCAGCATCTCATGGGCTGGCAGAAAATTTGCAACAGCTTGGGTTTGAAATTGATCGGCTGAAGACTGGAACTCCTGCTCGTGTTGATTGTCGTACTGTTGATTTCTCTGGATTAGAACCTCAACATGGAGATGAAGAGGTCCTCTTATCTAATCTCATTTGTAGGATCATAAGATTTAATGCTAATTTTGCATTGTTATCTTAAACAAAATGCTTGCTAGACTACCACAAAATAAGAGATTTGGATGTGGCATCACATTTGTTGCCCCAAAGGGCTTTACATGTTTCATCTCCACCCCCTCCATTCAAGGGGGAAGGGTTTACAATCTGAAACTTGGTTTATTGATATTGGGTGGAAAGTTGCATTCCTTGGACCCTTTTAGGTTCAAACCATGCTACCATGTGGAAGACTCTTGGGTTGTATAACGTGATTCACCCATTTCCAAATTCTTCTCACTTGCATACTAATTTCATGCCCTTCAAGCTTAATCAGAAGATTTGTCATTTTCCTAATCTCCCAATCCTGCAAATATATCTAGAAACAAGGTGCCCAAATCATTCTTCCACCAACCACTTCAAACAGTTGGGACACCTTTTTGTCAACTTCCAAAGTAAACAGTTTGTCTCCAAGTGTTCCTGAACAATAACTAATCTCAAACTTTATTTATTAGTATTTTGATGCATTGTTGGAACATCTTCCTTCAACCCATTTACCTAATTTTGTCCTTTCCTAATGAAGATAATTGTTGAGTGGGCCGGTTTGTTTTGTTGAGTGGGCCGGTTTGTCTTTAGTTTGTTTTTATTTAATTAGGAAGTTGTTGGGCCAAGGCCCATTAGTTTTTATTTTTTAAAGTTGTGACTGTTCAGTTTTAGTAGCCGCCCTACTAAGGGCATCCTTGTAATATCTCATCTTTAAGTTAAATATAAATATAATGAGGGGCTGGCGACTAGGGTTAACTTTCTCATAACTCTAGTTGACCTCCTACTCTTTTCTTCTTCTCCTTCCTTCTCTACTGCTGAAATCTTCACCTTCCCTCCTTTTCTCTCACAAGAAGCTTTGACTGAATCAGCAAATAGTGATTTCTACTATAATGATAAACAATTTACACAATTTGGTATCCTTATGCCCTTTTTAAAACTCATGTGGCCCATTGGACCACCCCCGTTTCCCAAGTTGGCTTGTTAGTTTAGTCCTTCCAATATTTCAGGTTGTTCACACAATATATATATTTTTCTCTCAGCATAATGTATATTATCATCTTTATGTTTCCTTTATGATGAGTATTTTCTGAAAGCAATCTTCTTTTAAACAGGTTAGCTGGTTTAGCTTTGATCCTGATTTCCACATTGAAAGGGAACAGATGTGCTGCTATTTAACACGTACCACGAAAGCCACACACCAGCTTATAAAAGAGAACTTGCATGAAACCCCAACTTATGGAGGCTGGGTTGAAGCCAAGGGACCTAGATATTGCCCTTCTATTGAAGACAAGGTATAATTAATAGTTATATTGGCCCATAGTGTCAGTTGCATGTCTGCTAATTCAAGCTCAAAGAAAAGTGATTTACCACATATTCTGCATATCCAAATAGTGTTTTTTTCTTTTTTCGGTAATGATAATTTATTTACAGAGAAGAAGAAGAAAGAGGATTTGATTGATGGGTTGCTCCATTTGTGACCTGGGTGACTGTGTACATCTGTCCCTCCCCAGACCCCGCATTGACAGGAGCCTTGTGCACTGGGTTGACCTTTATATTTTGTTGTTTATTATTAATTACATATAAATGAATCTGCTGCACTGCTGTCATTGCAACAGTTCTTGCCATCAATCAAGAGGAATAAAGCATATTGAGTTTTGTTTTCAGAAAGACGAAAGGATTACATTTAATTACTAATACCAATTTGTTTACAAATCTGCCCTGGGAGATGCTTTTTACCAACCCATAATTTGCATCCAACAGTTGTTTACCTTTGGTGACATCCACAGATTGGTCTCTATAAAGCATCTTTCTTTGATTTATTTGATGGTTACCTCTTAGAACTTCTGTTATGGGCATCCTTTAAGCAAAGACTAACTGTTTATCAATAGTAGAAGAGGCCTAAGGAATTCTAAATCAATTTAGGTCATTAACCTATTACAATCTCTAGAAAACATCTTTTTTGAATCCTTTAACTACAGAGTATTTGAACAGTCACTTCTTCGGAAACAGCCAAGTTGTACATGCATGTTTTTTACCAGCAACAGGTTGATAGGATTTAGTAATCATTACGAAGGGAGAAGATAAAGAGAATCAATACAAAACTGAAAACATCATAAAGAAGATACCCTAAGGCTATCACACTTTGTTGGATAGGCATGTTGGTCACTCAGGTATCTAGTTTGTATTTAAAAATATGCTCATGGTTTTAGAAGTCCAATTAAACTGAAATACTAGGTAGAGGGATAAAACTTCATCATTATGGAACATGTTGGGACAGTCTTCTAAGCCGGCAAGAAGGCTTAACAGTTGTCTTGGCCATTACACATGAACATGCATTGGTATGGATGCTTTAGTTTCTTCTGAGTGAAGACTCATGGTTAATCAAGTAGGAAAATAGAGATGTTGCCATAGAGTTCATCTTTTTATATATTAAATTTGTTTTTGTTGTTTGAAATGTTAGTTTATGTTTGATACTTTAAAATTTCTATAAACCATGTAATTATTAACTCTATTTGCTTTTCAGATAGTGAGATTTCAGGATAAAGATTCTCATCAGATTTTCCTTGAACCAGAGGGCCGAAATGTGCCTGAACTTTATGTGCAGGTGTGCTGCCTGAACTTTAAAAATAACTTTTTATTTCTGACTTTTTTAAGTAATGAATATTATCTCATCTTCTTTTATTCTATCCTTTACATATTTTGCTATCTTTTTCAATAGTAATATATGTTTCTTGAGTTCATCATATCCAACCACTATGTGAATGGCTTAACGCGTCTGACTTTTGGCAAAAAAAAGTCTGACTTTTGATGATTCTTGTCTATTACTCACAAAAAACTACAGAACCTTTGTTTCTACTTTGCAAATATATTTTTTATGATAGTTTTTCATTTGAAGTTTCAATTTTTAACTATAAATGATGTTATTTTTCTTCCTAAATAGGGTTTCTCAACAGGTTTACCTGAAAGGCTGCAGTTACCACTCTTGAGAACATTACCGGGCCTTGAGAACTGTTCAATGTTAAGGCCTGCTTATGCCGTAGAATATGATTTCCTGCCTGCTCATCAGTGCTCTAGATCTCTTATGACAAAGAAAATTGATGGACTCTTCTTCTCAGGCCAGATAAATGGAACAACAGGCTATGAGGAAGCTGCTGCACAGGTTTTTTTGTATCTTTTATGATGCTCTCCGTTTTTTTTTCTGTAGTCCTCAAGATTTCATCCCTTGTGTGGTGTTATTGTCTCAGTATTCTGAAAACACAAATGCACCATAACCCATAATGTCTCTTACATGTAAGCAAAGGAAGTTGTTGCTATCACCTTCGAATTTATTTTTGAGACCTATGTCTCAGCTTATGCATTCATGTGCACAGGGTATTATTTCTGGGATTAATGCAGCTAGACATTCAGATGGAAAGCCTCTCGTCATTCTTGAGAGGGAAAGCAGTTATATAGGGACCTTGATTGATGATCTGGTCACAAAAGATCTTCGGGAGCCTTACCGCATGTTGACAAGGTATTTGGGGCAAGGTGTTCCCTTTGACCATTCAATAATATTGTTCTCACTGAGTGACAAAATATGCAACTTATGTTTTTTTTATCAATAATGGCATAATTTCATTTCATTAAAGAGAAAGGGATAAGTGTACAACATAAGAAATACAGAAGTACGTGTCAGTCAATGAGAGATAAATACTCTTATCCCAATTAATCACTCATTTACAGAAGTGCCCAGAACATAGGTTCTCTCTCCACCCCTTGTTTGGCTAAAACATCAGCTAACGTGTTAGTGCAAAATTTAACCCAATTGAAGGAAATTTCCATATCTCTTGTCAACCACCAAATTTTCTTATTTTCATTGCAGTATATCCAAAACGTTGAATCCTCTCCCCGTAACCAACTTACTACCAGTTTGGAGTCACCTTCAACAACCAACTTCCTAATGTTCAGATCATTTGCTCTTTGAACACTTTCCAACAGGGCCAGCACTTCTGCTCTAAGGGAGTCCCCCTCCCCAGCTGGACCTGAGAAGAGAGCTAAAATCTTACCCTCCTCATCTCTATGAACCCCATCAATATTTGAGTTGTTACTTTTTGAATTGATGCAACTAGCTATCCATGCCATTTGCGAGGTCGACTTGGGGCAGGATCTGGTGAGTGTCAATGATTTGGCTCAAGGTCTAGATAGGTCACTATTTTAGATCGCTGTCCATAGTCTTCTTTCTGCTTTATTCCCTTGTCTTTCAGCTACTCTATCACCCACCTACTTTGGATTCATGTTTCTGTGAAATATGTTCATGAATCGCTTCAAGGATCTCTTTCATAGCTGTAAAGTGACTGATATAATAAGGGTGTGGAATGAAGTGGCTCAATCTTCCAAAGAAAAAGAAAGAAAATTGATGGAGTGGAAGCCCCCACCGAGCAATAGAATAAAGATGAACTTCGATTGTAAATCGATGGGGGATCTGGGATTGGCAGGTATTGGTGGTGTCTTCAGAAATGACTCAAGCAAATTGTTGGCTATGTACTCAGGACCTATAGGGGTACGGGATTCCTTAAATTCTGAGCTGATGGCCCTACTGCAAGGCCTAAATTTGGCAAAACAATCAAACCTTAGAAATCTGGAGGTTGAAGGGGACTCAAATCTGGTTGTTCATGGACCACAAACAAGTGCAATGTACCTTGGATCTACAGACATGTTCTGAGGAAAATATAAAGCTTGGCAAGAGACTTAAATGCCAACTTTAATTGGACAAGGACTGAAAATGGGATGGCGCACACACTAGCTAAACAAGGGGGTGGTCTATAGGCAGCAGGTGTTTTGGGCTTTATTGTAATCTTTTGGGATAAGCTTCTCAGTTCTCTGTTTCTTGGTTGAAAGGTCACCCTTTATAATGTACTTTAATCTGTCTTTTTAATAAAACCAATTTCTTCTTTCTGATTAAAAAAAAAAAAAAAAACTGAACCTCTTTTCTGGATCAACAAGATATCAATCATCACGGTTCCTCACTTACAGATACATCTATTAAAAAGGCTATTACTCAATGTTGGTCCCAGTTATCTGGGGTCTTGGGGAGGGGTGGACTGGATACAGTCCTAACCTTTGGCGTTTTTTTGCACAAATTGGCTGCTCTTCGACTGAAACTTGTGTTCTCATGCTTGACAGCCCAAGATTTTACCATTACACCAAGTAATTGGCCCCTTACATACAGCTGTTTATTATTTTAATAATTGCTACTTTGGTTTCTTTAACAAATTATTTTTTTTGTAAAACAGTTTCTTCATGCTTGATTTGAAAGGTATTGTTAAGTCACTTTAAATATTAACAAGATTACTTACATCAGAAGTAAGGGTTAACAATTTCTATTATTTTCCTAACAAGATTAACAACATAAAGGAGTCATCCCAGGCCTTTAAGACTACAAAGCTATTATATGAATTTATAATAACCACTTTATGGATCATTATTTGTCTAGTTTCGTAGTTGGTGATGTTTTTACAGATTTGATTTCTCTGTAATATTTTCCTTTTGGTGAAAAAAAAAAAAGTTCTTTGGCATTGATATTATCTATTGATTTATTGAGCCTTTAAGATTATCAATGCTAATACCATAAAAAAGGATTATCAATGCATGAATTGCAGATGCTTCATATTGTTGAATTGTTCTTTTTCCTGAATAAGATTTGATTATTTGATCTCATTAAACATTACATTGTCCTCTTAGCCGCTCAGAATATCGTCTACTTCTCCGTGCTGATAATGCTGATAGCCGTCTCACACCTCTGGGGCGAGAAATTGGTTTGATTGATGATAGACGGTGGAAACTATACCAGGATAAGCAAGCCCGTATCTTGGAAGAAAAGAAGCGATTAAAGGCTGTGAGGATTTCAGGTTATTATCATTTAGCTATATTATACTAATTGTTTTTCCTCAATTATGTTATTGAAATTAAATCAAAATGTGCAACTTGGGTAGGTTGGGTCATGTTAGGTGCCAGCCCAAGTCCAATGGTAAGATCTAAGTGGTCAACCCCATAGTAACCAGAACCCTAGGTTGACGTATCTGATTCAAATTGCAATTATGTAGTCAGGAACAGGAACTTACTGAAATGTATTCAACAAAAATTCTTGGATCATGCTCCCAAATTTTGAAGGCAGATATAAAGATAGGTGATAAATTTGTTTTTTGTGGGACAAAAGAGTAGAAAGGTTATGGTATAATGGTATTTACTGGGTAGCATTTTGCCTTCTATGCTACATAGGGTTCTCCCATGCACAGCAATTTCCTCATTCCCATCCAAATTCAAGAAATGTTTCTGTTCTTTCCTCTTTCTCTAACTCCCATTCCATAATGTGGTTTCTTGGGTCAACCTACAGACCAGAACCCAAACCTAGATGGAGTTGGATTTGGTTGGTTTAGATGGAGCTAGGTTTGATAACAATGTATAACATGTCCTAAGACTCAGTTTAAAGACCAAACTAAAATGCACATTTTGACCTGTCATCTTGAGAAGCAGGGCCCTGTTTAAGTTTTAGGATGGACCTCTTGACTTTGTTGTATGATCCAATCTTATAGGATGGATCTTGTTAACAGCTGTTACTTTTCCTATGTATAGTACCGCAGGGGTACTATTGTACTTTTACTCTTTTTTATTTTAGTTGCTGTCGCCCTAGTATATATATTAAAAAAGCTGCGCCGCCAGTAGCATCTTTGCTCTCAGTTCTCTCTTCTCTCTTCTTCTCTCTCTTTTCTCTCTTCTTCCATTCTTCTCTCCTGCATAACATGGTAT